AAATAAGCAATCATATAAATGAGTTTGATCGAAATGAGTGTGCTCAAGTAGTCTGCCGGAGTTACCATTTTAGGCAAACTGTCGAACCATTACTTACGAAGTACCTTTAAGTAAAACCCATATATGATGAATTAGCTGAGTCCAGAATTTAGTACGGTCACATCATAAGAAGACTTTACAATAAAAGTGCTTAATGGCAATCTTGGACGCGAATAAGCGCGAATATAATATATAAAAAAATATAATATACATTGTGGCACAAGGTGTCCTATATGAGTCAATAATTTTGACTATGACTTTGATAAGGTCTTAATGTCACAACTGCAAGCTAAATTTAGTTTGTATACAAATTTAGGTACTTTTGTCATCAACTCTCAAGTGAAACTAATTGTAAGATAGGTGAATATAGAGTATGGGGTCTGTCTAAGCGTAAGCGTAGGAATGAGGACTAATTGACTTTTTTCCTTTACATTGGTGGTGATTATTACACAAGTTTTGTTCCCATAGTTGTCTACAATAGAAAATCATAAACGTAATCATGGAGATAATAAGAAGAACAACACACATATTCTTACTTGCCACAAAAATCTATCCACCCGCTAATGTATTTGGCGTGCCTTTGGAATGTAGATTTTATTACCTACAACAACAAGTAAACATAAGAATGTATAAAAATATATAACAGCCAGTGTTATAAATGTAAAAATGGTAATACTTCATGCCCTTTGATGTTTGTTTTATTTCTTTTATGCCAACACTCATCATATATCACATATAAGGACGCGCACCGTCCACATTAAAATTAATCTAGTCATGTAGTCAACAAAGTCTCCTTGCCCCATTTCTGAGGTACTTATTATGAAAGTAGAATAATCCAATTAATGTAAGTTTTAATAGAAAAGAATTATAAATAATAAGAAATAGATAGATTTGTATGAGAAAAGCTTACTCGTCATATACCGTCTTTTAATATTTTTGTTACAATTTAGGGAAGGTCCTATTTATATTGACTGTGCACTAAGTTTAGTAGGTTATGTTTGTTCATACTCTACTCGTGCGAGTTGATGTATAAACATTTTATTAAGGAAATGGAAGTAACTCGATATTCTGGATGTACAAACATTAATATAATAATCTTCATCAGCTACTAAGTAATTAAAGACAATATTAAACACTAACGTTTACCAAATTAATAAAGGAATAGAGTCTATTTTAGTTCAACAAAAATAATTATATATGTAATAGATACACCTTTTACATTTTTAATTATTTTAGTTAGTTAATTAAAATAAATACTATAATATGACGTACATTGTAAATGATATGTGTATAGAAAAATAGATCTTACATATTTGTATTTAGATTAAATGCTCATACTGATAAAATGAAAGAGGAATATTTAAAATACTAATTATAAAATTTTAATAATATACCTATTTCCTTTTATGTAAACTCGATATAGAACAAGACAATAAATAAAACCAACCAAAATAATAAGTTACAAAAAGTCCTTATTGGAAATTTTGGTCTATGGATATTTTTAAACTCGACTTGTAGAAGATGTTTCTAGCTAGGAAATTTAGAAACTAGATAACAAAATAATCTTTTTATTTCACAAGATATTATTTTGCAAACACACGAGTTCGTTTAGTCAAAAAAACATTTAACCAGAATCTAAATCAAGTGTAAACAAGAACGACCTCTTCATTAGATATTATTATGTTGATACTTATTATTACGAATTAAACATATGTGTATTACAGCTTTTGTGGCCTCAATATGAAACACTTAAAGTCAATATCTAATTGTATGATGTAATAAATAATGCAACAGCTTATTGAGCGAGCGCATTGTATTAAGTATTGACCTCTTATCGTGCATGATAAGGAGCCGCGGTCAAGCGAAAGGCGAACTGTAAATATTGATAACATAGAATAGCATTGAAGTACAAAAACTCAACCTAGTTTATTATTTGTCTATTATTTATTCACACAAGGTAGCATGCTGTAACTAAATCTCTGGTTCTATTTTCCGTTCAGACAAAGAAACAAAATTTCTAAATTGGTTCGCTATCCATTATAGTTTCTCATATCGTAAGATATCGGTATAAGGTACTTTGAGAAACAGACAATAGGGTGTGATTTTATTAGATTTGTTATTATTACTACAAAAATGATTCTTGTTTTGTTCGTTCGGAAATCTTTTTCATCGGTTCCTATGAAATGCTTTTTGCTGCTATTAAAGCTTTAACTTACTAGGTTAAAGCTTTAATAATAGTCGGTCGGTCGGCCCAGTAATGATGACAAATTCATAATATTTTTATTGTGTGTTTTATTTTTTATTTTTGTATTACTATGTTAATTTCACGGCTTTAGGAATACATTTATTTACGAAACCTTCCACTTGACATGACACTTCGACCGAAACCTTTATTAGTGTCACACATCATTCAAGTCATCTCTAAATAAAGGGTCGCGGTTGTGAAAAGGGTCCAATTTTATTTCTGCTTTTAGTTTTTAATTCAGATATTCTATTCCATCTGGACGAAATACGATTATCATCCAAAAGTACTTCGACGACGACGACCAATAACATAACAACTATTCATATATTATTGGACTAATTGTTTGTTTTGAATTACGTCCACGTTCGTTGCCTTGTTTCTCTTAATACGGAGTAGAACTTCAGGACTGAACAATTGATGTCATTAAATGGTACTTTTTATTATCGATCAAAATAAGTATTGAGCTTGATTGGTAATAATAGTGTCATTAACCCTGGAAGCCCAAACAGATTGTTATGGCCATGTGACCGAAGCATACGAGAATACTATGTACCTATTTCGAAAAGGGTCACAGATGTAAGTAGTTATATAATTTATGAAAAAAAGAATAACACAATATAAAAACTCAACATTGATGATTTAGAAAATGTGCAGGTAATATGTTTTTGTAATTAATTAATAAACAAAAATATTTTTATTCTATATTTTAAGTTCATTAAGTTTTGCGGGGTTTTTTCTGTCGTAATTGTATTATAGGGCAGACAATTATATGCGTAAATTCTCTTTATATTAGCTTATTCAATTCTCTTGGCTTTGCACTGACTGGTACAGTTTTGACAATGTCATTGAATATACAGCACAATTGCTTTTATCCGTTTGTACAGTCTACCATTATTTTAATAAAAAAATATCTACCTAAAGCTCAGATATTGCATAATTTATGTGATACTTCAGTGCGATAGTGATAATCCAATCTAGGATAGATAATCTAGAAATCATATATCGGACTATCTACAAATCATTTGTGCTATGGTGTAAGACTATCTCAATTATTGACATGCTATGATACCGTCGATCGATCATTTCGTGTTTGAAACAAGATAACAGTCAAATATTTACTTTGTGATATTGTACAATTGTGAACGGTAGCACGTGTTTTATGTATTTCATCGTCGTATCGTCTCTTTGCTTTGTTTACATTGCAACAAACAAAGTCACAAGATTGACAGTGGAGAAATATGATATTATAAACGAGTCTGTATCCCGCGGCTCTACCTTTATGAAATAAGCATATGGTATACCAACTCGTTGATTACGCACCTTTCTATAGATGAAAGAATATTTAAAATACTTGGCCCAGTAGTTATTTTTCTGATTAACCATTACAAAAATGATTAAATAATCGATATATATTTATTTTATTCTGTGGTGACGACACTGAATGAAATAGTAGCATAATGTGTAGAGTACTGGCATAGCAACGGTAATGGTATACCTCAGTACCATCGCCGTAATCTTCTTATGAGACATTCATGGTATTACCATGTTCTATAATAAATACAAGGTCAATTGTCAAGAAAGACAATTAACTTTCAAATGTTCACATTATTTCACCAAAAAATAATGTAGAAAATAAAAAAAAATGCACTCTTCGTACTACATATTATATTATCTGTGGTACTACTTAATCCAAGTATGATTACTTGAACGTGTAGGTTGTATGAAGGTTTTAATATGGAAATAAATTTTCTGATTTGCTTCTTTAGGAAAATTGTTCACATTCATTAATATTGTCACTAGATTTTAGCTCTGGCAATAAATATTTGTTTATTTCAAACTAAACGCATGTACCTACCCTACTTAATGGAAGTATTAATTTGGATTGTAGTGACACTATACTAAGCATAGAATACTACAATTGTACATAAATCTTAATTAAATGTCTACATGGAGGCTTGATGAAACGGTCCCATTACGTCTTAGTATAAAACTTTATCTTCTGAATGTACCCACTCGACCTTTATGGTAAATGTCTTTTAATTTATTTTCAGCTTGCTGGATTTCAATCTCTGTCAGATTATTTCACTATAAACCAAAGGTTAAGACTACTGAAGTATCAAACTAGTAACTAGTATTAACTATTATTATATTCGTAAATTAACTTTCTTAGAATAAAAATTATCCTAATTATGTAATACCACAGATAACATAATATTACAGTAGTACTATCTACTCGTACTAAATCACTACGATATTAACCATGTCATTTAGAATCTTTGAGTAGGTATAATGTTATTACATTTTTTTTATTTAAATATAAATACAAGATAGACACTGGCTTTTATGTAGCTTAGATCTATAAATCATTACACGACACATAATTTACATAATAAATAATAAAATGTTGTTATTTCCTTGTTGCAGATACAAAACCAGCGCTAAATAAAAAATGACTGCAAATATTTGGAGCAAAACAACACTCAGAACAATAGTCATCCGAAATAGCAGATAGATATCGAGATAATGATCTACGACAATAGATAGAACTTAACGAGTAAACATTATCTTTTAAAACTATTCTTTTTACCCCTTCCTAAGTAATCATTGATCTTCCTGGTTATTCTTCCGTTATATTTACAGTTCAAGACAACTTCAACAATCCCTTCTATGCTAGAAGTATAATTAATTCTGTTTAATCTTAAACAACTTTAAAAAGAAATATCCGAGATCAATAACATAGTTTTAATCTGTATATGAAGCAATCATATCGTAATGACAATACAAAATATTTGTACAAATTAGCATCGTATTAGAGATAATCATCTAGTATTTTAAACAAAGCGCTTTGATAATCATATCATTAGTATTCTGCTGCCTTATAAAGTGACAAATTAATACATAGTGCCAAAAAGATAATTGCAAGATGTCTCACGGCGTGGTGAAGAATTCTAGGAATGGGAACAGTGCACATGCAGCGGCGTCGACGAGGGAGGTTTCGGAGAGCCCTCCACCGCCACCTGATGGAGGATGGGGCTGGATGGTTGTCATCGCATCTTTCATGATTCATATAGTCAGTGAGTAATCTACTATAATAATACTTATAATCGTACTTTATCTCTATATATGATAAAATTCGAGAGATCAAATCTAATTTTAAAAACAGGCCATGATTTTTTTTAACTGACAGAAGAAGGTTTTTATTCAGTTTCACGTATTTTAGCATACAACTAACGGCTCATCTGATGGTAATGAGCACCTATTGCATTACAACAAGATCAGCACCACGCATCAGGTGAGATCAAGATCGGATCAGAATTGGACGATTTTATGTACAATCTACCTCAGATTAAATCAAGGACTGTACATAAATGCCATTTTTATAAATATGATGTCGCAGATATAGGGGAGTGCTATAAATACATGTTATTACCTGTATACCTGACAAATATTTTTCCTTGTCATATTTTATCATTTATCTTGTACTCACAACGTTAGATGTCCAATCTGATAACTACTGCCGATATCTTTACAAAATTGTTACTAAGCAAAACTAAATTCGGATAACATTAAAAAAATACCATTCGAAAATACATATTTTAAGTTCATATTTGATTCTGGCGCTACGGGTTACTAATTTAAAATTGTATCTATAATACATACCTATATATTTTGTAAACTACCACACATATCTGCCTGTCTATTAGATTTTACCTGCTACTAATTTACTAATCAATAGAGATGTATACATCTAGAAACATCTAAAATGAATCAAATGTTCTTTAGCTACAACCTCATGGGAGGAGCAAATTGATAGTAACGAGGTTTTGTGGCCCCATGACCTCCACAACGCGATTTCTTAGGTAACCATCGTAGTTTATTCGTCACTATGAACTAAGATCTGAATTCATGCTCATCCTATCATCCTCCATTCGTGGCCCGCCAATATACATAGTTAATACAAACGAGTATATTACATATGCATCTATTTAAAAAGAACAAAGCACATGATCCTTTCTAATATGATTTATATACTTCTACGGAACAATTAAATCTTAATTTCAAGTAAAAATCTATATATCTAATGAACATTGACTTAGGTCGTTTATCTTGTGATAAGTCACTTGTTTGGCCTCATTAAACAATTGTACCAAATATGAGTAGGCAGATATTTAGATGTCGATAATGTGAAGTGGTTGGCACAATATGATAAATGTAATTAACTACTCTTTCCATTTAACCGCTATATAATATATTAAACTTGTTGAATTACACAAAATACACTCTATTATCATATGTAAGCAGAGCCGATGCCATATTTGAACTATTTTGAATGGCATTATATATAGCTTACTATGATAGCTATATAAATATTTGCAATGTTACATTCTAAATCAGTCCTACATATTACTCAAAAGTATACTTTAGGTAGGTAAATACATTCTGGAGGCTGAGTTCTCTCGAAGTTATCTCCTGAATCCGTTTCTCCGAATTTAATAAATATTTTGTAAAACCTCTCTCTTAAAATTATTAAACATATAAGGAACCCCAGGACAACTGAGTTTCGTTAATGCTTGAACGCTACAATGGTTTTGAACGTTTTCACAGATATCGTGTTTTATTCATAATCGTTATTATGTTTTGACGCCCTCGGTGGTCTAGACGTTTAGCACACAAGTCGCAAGTTCGATTCCTCTCACGGTACAAGCATTTGTATACATGAATATGATTGATTGTGTCAGTATGGTGTTTTCTATGTATATTTTGTATGTATTTAAAAAAATATTATTTATATCAGATTTCTAGTACCCATAAGACACATTCTGCTTACCGTGTGTACTATATGGCGCGGTGTTAATTAAAATAAAAATAATACTTAGGCAAAAACTTAAAAATTGAGGCATTCTTGCCATTACCTTGCCAAGTAACTACAGTTTCCTATGAAAAATCCGTGCTATTTTTGCTTTTTCGCATTTTTCTTAATTCTTGAAAACATCAGTGTTTTATAAATATCTAAATAACACCACTTCATACAAAAAACTTCATCTGGAAAATATTACAGATTGTTTATATTCTAACGTTTGTTTATCTATAGTGTGGATACATATATTCACCTAATATTATTATTGTGCGAAATAATAATCACATAGTTCCATTATATTTATTATTAGCTGTTTCCGCGACTTCGTCTGCGTGGAATTTAACTTTAATTTTCTAAAATAAAAGTAGCCTAAGTTATTCCTACCTAGTTACCTGCCAAAAAAAGTCCCGTCAAAATCGGTCCAGCCATTTCAGAGATTAGCCGGAACAAACAGACAGATAGACAAATTAATAAAAAAAATGATTTTTTTTGGTACCGTATTTATATTGATATGCATGTAGGAAGAATCGGTTATTTCAATATTACAAACAGACATTCCAATTTTATTTATATGTATCGATAATAAGATTTATTCATATGAGTGACTTGTTTCACCACAGCCGTTAAAAAGTTATCCAAATATTTACCTAGTTATGTGGAAGACTTTAAATATTAATAAATGAACATTAAAATATGAAGAGTAATATATACTGTAAACAATTAACGTAGTATCTAACTTAGCTTAGTATCTGCAAATGCTCGTCCGAATATATAGGTATATAAAATTCTCGTGGCACTATATTACTTACCATACTCCTCCGAAACAGCTTGACCGATTGTTATGGAATTTGCATATTTCGTAGGTCTAAGTAGGCTACTATATATTTTTCATATCCCTAAGTGATAAGGGTTGTCCAACCCTAACATTTTTTTTATTTTTTGGACAATATTATTTTTTATAATATGGCATTAAAATACATACAACCCTAGATTTTTCTATCACCTATCACCAACCACTTTTGTAATAGCAACATTAGTACTTTTCATATGACGAAACTAGGCTAGCCAGGACAACTATATACATAGGTATTGCTTAAAAACCTTAACCTTTATGAGTGACATTGACTGTCAATGCTTCTATAAGAAAGACATTTTTTTAAGCGAATTTAATTTCTGACTTTGACACTATTATTATTTCATAGCAAACAGTGACCAAAATCTATTTGAGACAGGTAGTATGTTTAGAAATCTAATAGGTACATAATACTGACTATACATACAATATATAGTCAGTATTATGTACCTATTAGACACATTTAAAACTTTTTTACAATTGACAAATGACAATACAAAATAACAAATAATACTTAATTTTGCTAATATTTATATATTTCTCAGTTTTACAAATAGACAATGCATACAATTATTATTTAGTGGATTTACTAATTAGTGATAAAACTCTGAAGAACTGATGTTCTACAGTGTTTTTATAATCTAATTAATAAGAACCAATTCACATCAAGTAGGTTTAGAGTAGGCACATGGTATAGAAATCCTATACACCTATAATAATTGAACATATTGTCAAATAAAGTTTTTGGGAGTTTATAATAAAATTTCTGTTTCATACTCCTATCATACGTGTCCAATCATTTACGAAACGAAATTAAAAAAAAACTTTATGGTTTCGCGACCTCAAAAATTCAACGCGTGTAGAAAATATCACAGTATAAAAATGTCTGTCAATAATTAATTTTATTTACTGACCTTCTACATTACAAACAAATTTTGTTTGTAAAGAAACTTCCTAAACGACGTACAAACAGTAATCAAAAAAATAAATGAGACATTGTAAATATGGTCATTCAAGTTATAAGAATGCAGCGTTTAATTTATAATATTTTGAAAATTCAAAAAGATATGTAGTCTAGGTATCTAGATCTGTTCTGTCTATTTATGTATTTGTTATGAATTCTCGATATTAAATAAACTTATTCCCAAGTAACAAATAAATGAAGAAGAAATTAAACAAAGAAAAACATATTTAAGACTGTAGTTTATGTCATATGATAGATAATGAAAGTTTAATTCAAAATTTAATTAATATTTCGAACTATATTATGTAGGGAATATATACATACCTCCACATAGACCTAAATTAATATTGAATATAGATTTTTAGAACCATATAAAAAGAGTTTTAAAACTAAATCTAACTTGGCCTTACTGATAAACGAGTCCTAGACATGATGAAAAGAAAACTAACCGTTTACTTAGTACTTGAAGATCATCTAACGAAAAATCAATGCAGTTAAGTGATAACATTACCGAAGTCGCGTGTCACGGATACATTTATCGAGGAAATTGTACCATTACCAAAGGTCGAACCTTCCCTTTGCGGGTTGTTCTATGAAACGTGGAAAGAGATGACTGAGAATTCCTCAAAGAGAATCACGCTATCTTTATTTTTGAGTTGGTATAATTTTCCATTTCAAATTGTAATTAGGTACATACGTACAAGGTACTGCTGTATCATAAGTAAATCGTCGATCAAACTTCAAACTACGTCCTACGTTTTTTATCGCGTATTGCTGGGAACCATCTGTATAAATAACCTTGAAAAGCTAAACGTTATCAATGTATAAATATCTACGCCATGAATATCTACTATTATTATTTTTACCCGTCCCTACAGCCCTACCTCCAAATTTCCTGCTGATATTGTATTTTTATGTTGCAAATGCCTTAACTTATAAGACTCAATTATTTATAAAATAAAATAACTTATAAAAGCCTGTTGTAGAGTCACAGCGTAATCCATTGAACTATTTACATGTTTTTCAAATAAGTAGAAAAGTGAATATACAATTTTCTGAAGCCATACAACGTACAGGAATCTGTCTTATTCACTTTACGACAGCTACTACTTTATTATTTATATTGCTAGACGTTGGCACATTAAACACATTGTACAAAATACCAACAATAGAAGCTTAATAAAGACTTTGATCTATGTTGCCCGACTAAATCCAGATGTTAGTCCTAAATATTAGTTCATTCTTTAAATTCTAAATAATGATTGAATCTTTTACAAGTTACATATGGTATAAAATAAATCTCTACGATCTAATACTATCATAAGAATGCAAATGTTTTTAATTTTTTGACATTAACCCTCATTCTAACTATATCGACACACCTATAGAGGCTACACTT